AGGTTTACATCCCCCCCCCCCGCCTCTGCCTAGGGAAAGGGCAGTCTTTCCCTGCAGTGGGAACCAAAGCAGCTGACATCATTCTCCTCTCCCCCGTATGATCCGCACAACTACCCTATGAGGTATGTTATGGTTGAAAGTGTGTGAATGGTCCATAATCCCCCAGGCAGCTTTTAAAACATGAACCTGGGACCTGCACACCATCCTCTGAAGTGCTCTCTGTGGCAGTAATGGGGTGACTGCTGGCACCTTTTCCTTTCATTTTTTGCCTTGTGGTATTCTGCTTGTGGTGTGATCTGTCTTCTTTGTGATGTGGCATGATTGTGTTATTGGGTTTGTTTCTTTTGAAGGGGAAGTGATGTGTTGTGAGTGAGGACATATTTTACTTCAGAATACAGTAGGTTCCATATGCAACTGACAACTGCAACTGCCTTGTGGGGGGGGGGAGTTTGAGGTGTGGAATGGAGTGAAGTCCAATCAGCTTCCATATGCAAAAGACCTTGAAACGCTGGGCGGGACTGCACAAAGCAGCCAGTCAACCCAGCCAGCGTCTTCTGACTGACAGTTCTTGCGGCCAAACACTAAAGGTGTGCATTTGGAACGTTGGAGCCCACTACGGCTTTATATATAAGGGAGAGATTATACAAACTTTTACCCCACTTCCTCAACATTGTCAAGGTGCTTTCTGAAATGCCGTGGGTCTTACTAACATCAGTTCTATATCACAGTGAGTGGTTAATGACCATCTCTCAACAGCCAATGAATTCATATGCTCACCAACCCAATAGCTTCCAATAAGATGAAAGAATAATTTTTTGAAACCAGCTGAGAAATGAGATCAGAAGAAACTATAACACAGTCAATGTTATAACAGTAAACAGAAGAAACACATTTGTAAATTCTTATAGAACATCAAATGGAAGTGATTTTTTTTAAAAGCTTTAGTTCACAGAACAGCATTTCCAGATAAGTATTGATGTTGTATTAGATGAAAAAATATGGTTATATTTTGTTTTCTGTGGTGATGCAAAGTATTTCTCTGACTTCCCACTGAAGCTTCTAATTACGTACAGATGCCAGGGTTTAAAAGAAAGTATATGGATTGTTATCCAAAAATTCATGCTCTCATGCTTAAACATTAGGGTATTTTAATGCACAGTTTCCTTCCCACTCCTGCTGTGTCACACTGGATTTTATTCTTCAAACCCAGATTATCTGGCCTCATAATTGGCACTGTGCATTACATTCTAAAAACTAAGATAAATTCACTTAAGCTCAGACTTGCACATTCATGTGCAGGCATGAAAATGTTCTTACCTATTCTTAATCAAATCTAAATTCTATATTGGCATAGATGTGAAGGCATCTCAAGGTATACAAAAAATCATTCTCGCAATGATATAATTTACATATTCAAACTAAAGAACCCCTTTGTATCATTAGACCTTCTGTTTTGTGAGCACTTTTCCCCCATAAAAGTTGCCAAAGGGATGCAATATGATACTGAAGGCTTCAAAGAACATTTTATATTAATACAAACCATACGAATTCAAGAAAATCATTCCATGCTTTTGCAGTACAGAAGCATCCCCCAACCCCAATATTGGAGACCCAATATTTTTCAGGCTATATACCAACCTCTTGTCTTTACCAGATCATATCTCAGCACCAGGACTGTACTTTTCCTTTTCTAAAAAATGTGAAATGCTTATAAATGAAAGGGGTCACAGCTTTGCTTTCATTACCTGTAAGTGATATGTTTATGTTGCCACTTCTGTCCCGTTAATGCATATCGTTTTCGGCGAATATTAAATCTAGAGCTGCCTCTTGTCTGGTCGGGCACACCGCAACGAGGTTTCTTCATCCAACTTGAAATAAATAAAGGAAGAAATCAGCCACTCACAAGGACAGTATTTTATCCCTGCTGACCAATGGTAGCCCACTGAAATAGCAACAAATAATCACTGCTTCTCACTTCCCTCATAAAGGATACAGTTCCCCCCTCTTTTTCATATAGTTTCATATTAGCAATTACAAATACCAAGCCACAGATACCCTGATCAGGAGGCAGGAAGGGGCAGAAAAACAGAATTGTAGCAGAATCGTCCCCTTTATAACGTCTATGAATGTTTTGGGAACTCTGTGCAAAAGTGAGATGACCAGTTCATATGTTCAACAAAGGGTGTAAACAGTTCAGTTTCAAAAACAGTATTGTCATGGATATGGCCAGGAATACAGGGGAACAGTTGCTGATCCTGACCAGAAAAGATCAAGGAGGATGTTTCTGCACATCAGAAACAGATCTGGCCTAGTCTCTCAGGTAAACATGCTGAATAGTGTGCCTGGAAAATATAACAGCCTTGGAGAGGGGTAAGAAAAACAGGAGTAACACAATAACATGTATTTTTGGAGCAGAAGCAGTCTAACCCATATCAAGAGATACTATTTATTGAGGCCCAATGGTGAGAAGTGTTCGAGGATGACAAGAATGTCTGACTTCACAGAACTGAAGATATAGCTCAAAAATGGAGTGTGTTGGTTGAGGCGAACAAATATTAATGCACTAGCCTGATACCTGTGCTTTGCTATGGTATTTAACTTCCATAAATCCAGTTATAATACTGATGATGTAAAGTTAGAAATGTAACATTTGTTGTAGGAATTCTAATAGAGAAGACTGTAGTATAAAAAATGAAGTGAGACATGTACTTTTTTCTCTCTACTGAAGGGCCTCTCTGTGGACTGCTGGGATGGGCTCCCTCATGGCCTTAAGCACCCTGCAACCACTGCTGCACCTGACAATCACCTGTTAGGTGTAGGAGGTCGGGGGAGTCTGTTGGAAGCCATCAGAGAGGCTGAGCCAGCAGCATCACTAAGGTGATCCTGCTGGGGCAGCATCCCTGATGGATTAAAGTACCCTGGTCCTGCTCCTACACTCACAGACACCCACCTGTCTGGTGTTGGGGGGATTATGTTTAAAGACATCAGGGAGGCTGGGCCAGCAGCAGAGCTAAGGCACTCTTGCTGAGCAAACCTCCCTGGCAGCTGTAAGCACCCCACCTCCTCTCCTACACCTGACAGGCAGCTGCCTGTCCCGTGTAGGAGGAGGAGGGAGGAGGAGTATTAGAAGCCACTGTGGAGGCGGGGCTGGCAGGATCACTAAGGCGTTACTGCTGGGGCAGGCTCCCTCATGGCTTTAAACACCCTGCAACTGCTGCCACACCTGACAGACAACTGCCTGTCAGGTGTAGGAGGAGGGAGCATGTTTGAAGCCATAGGGAGGCTGGGCCAGCAGCTTTGCTTCACTTCACAGGTGGTTGGCCACTTCTGATTTCCTCAATTGTCATTAGCTCTCTGTAGTCCCCTGTAACTATTTTTTTTTACCTCAGAACACTGAGCTCTGCAGCTGACTAATCAGAGAGTAGGGGGTGCAAGGAGGCAGCAGCCTGGCAGTCACACAGGAATTGATGAGGAGCACATTTTACCCCTTTTGACCCCCTTAGGGGTCAAATTTCTAAAAATCCCTTCTTAGCAAGCACCTATACCATGGTAGGAGCACTCTCCCCGAATTTGGTGTCTGTAGGTCCAGCGGTTTGGCCTGGGCGTTGATTTTATGGTGAGGGGACTTTCTTTTATATATATTTAGATATAGAAACTTGTAATTACTATTTTAAATATACTTTATTATAATAAAAAGAATGTATGAGCAGTTTTTATATATTTTAAGATACTCAAGTACAGATAACTTTGTATTATAAGATTAGTAGTTAGCCAGAATGTACGCGTGTAGGACAGCTAGGTACTGCTGGGAAATGATTTGAAAAACCTATAAATATAGAAGGGTGAATAGATTTGGAGTTTCTTCTTAGAAGGGGCTTCTTGCTTGTGACATGCTTATCTTCAGGTAGCAGATTTTAATGGACTCTTGTAATTGCCCTCCCTTATCTATTGAGCAGTAATGGATGGTATAACTTTTTTTTGAGTTAGTCAATGTTAAAGATGCAAATGTTTATGGTGTAATAAAAGGCTAAAATGGAAATACAGGTTCTCTAATAGTATTACCTGTGTACTAATGAAGCAAAGATATTGCTGAAGTGTACCTCTTGCCAGGAATTAAGTGATCTGATATAGGAAACCTAACTAGATGCCTAGGGCTTCTTAAGTGCACACATATGCCTAAATGGGGACACACCAGAATCATCCAGAACAGAATGTTTTGGGTTTTTTTTTTAAGTGAGGCTTTGAGATAAAGCAGTAGCAGGGAGGAAAACACCCAAACCCTCAATAAGGGTAGACAGTTTTGTGAAAAGATAATATGTTGAATCCTGTACAGAACATGTAGAAAGTGCTGGTAGAAGTGAATCTTTCCTGCCTTCACTTTTCCCAGAAGCCATCTGTAAGTCCTGAATAGGCAATACTGGAAGTTGGGAACCAGCACTGGTAACACCAGCAGCTACGGAGAGGAAGGAGACATGAGCCACTTCCACACTGTCATTTTTGTCACTTGTTTTTCCCTATTGCTTCAGCCCCCCCCCTTTCCACATGTGGCTTGCTCCCTCTGGGACTACTAGAGAGAGCAAAACACATGCCCCCCCCCGAAACAATAGGGTCAAATGAGTGACAAAAATGACAGTACGGAAGTGGCCATGGGCATAATACCATACTCTGCCTCTTATGCCAGCAAAACCTCTTCTTCCAGTGGAAACAGTGATGTCAGAAGAGGTAGGAAGGGTGATTTTGCCAGTTTCCCCTTTCTCACTATAACCATTAGTGTTGTTCTGTGTTTTGTCTGTATGGATCCCACTTAGGGTTGCCAGGTCCTTTGCTCTCGCTTGCGGGGGCTGGGAAGAAACATTCCAGGAGTGGGGATGAGATGATGTTACCACAAAAGTGACGTCATCATGCTGGGGATGTCGCATGGTGACACTCTGGTATTTTGGGCAAAACTCTATGGTAACCATTGAGTTTTGCCCAACATACCAGAGGATCGCTGAGTGACATCCCTGGCATGATGACATCACTTTCGCACGATGCATCACCTTGGGGACATCACGCTGGGTCGTGACTGTTGGAGGTGGGGCTTCCCTCACCAGCCGGCTGGCATAAACCTGCGAAACAAAGGTTCCCCCACTCCCCCCTGGGGACTCACAACCTTAATCCCACCCAAACCCAAGAATAACCTTTTCAGGGAACTTGAGAACTTTCTGGGGAAGGAAAAATCTACTTTCACCACTACCTTCTATTGGCAGCAAATAAGTTCCAACCCAATGTTTACTAAGTTGTTTTATCTTTTTCATTTCATTATCATGTCACGGATTCACTCTGTATCATAATCTACTCTAACTGTTTTTGGTTTCACTTCCAAATTTTAACATTCATTTTGACATAAGTGCCACAGCTTTTCAATTTGGCATGCTTTTTCTTTGAACAAGCACATATGCACATAATCCCTAATCAAAACACTGTACATAATGATTAAACCACAGTGCATACTATCCAGCAATCATACCAAGATTCCTTTTTTGTGCACACTGATTAAAATGTGGCATGTATGCTTGTGCACAACAGAAATGTATAAAGGCAGAAAAACACAGAAAACAAAATCTGTGACAATGCTTTTTCTCAGTGATGCAAGCAAAATCAAAGAAAGCAATAAACAGAATTCTGTGGAATTCTGCAAACAAGACCAGGTCATTCAAAATCCCAAAGAACAGGGAGGTATTCTAATGGGAAGAATTTTATAAGCATCATTAGTGCACGAACAATAGGGATGGTTCAGCTCGTGGTTTGTGGCTGAACCACGAACTGAACTACAAACTGATACACTGGTTCATTAACCGAACAGTTTCATATCATTTTGTGAGCCATTTAAATCTTATACCGCTGCTTTCTGCTCCCTGCAGTTTTTCACGGGGGCAGACAGCAGGGGGTTCCAAACAGCTGAACAGCTGGCTCCAAGCCATTTAAACCCTTTCTGCTCCATATGAAAAGCCACAGGGAGCAGAAAGCAGTGGCTCAAATGGCTCTGAGCCATTTAAACCAAACAGCGGAGTTGCAGTTTTTTGTGAAGAGTTTTCAGCTGTTTTTCATGAAGATCAGAAAGCTTCTCTTCACAAACCACCACGAACTGCATCAAAATTCATGGAAGTTTTTGGTGGTTCTTCAGTTCGTGAACATCCACTTTGCGTACCACGAACCACAAGATTTGTGATGAACTTTAGTTTGTCAGCTGGTTTGTGCCAATTCCTAATCAACGGTTTCCTACTGAAAACTGTACTTTGCTATCTAGATTAACAAGCAACTGTAATGACCTTTAGGCACTAGGAGCCTGGTTTCCAATTTCTTCTTTTGTAACTACTAATATTATTCTTGATCGCAATAATTCCCTAATTATTGCCACAGTGACACAAATAATGATGGCAGTTGTGGCAACCCTAATTTCAAGGAAGTGCATCTACTTTTATTAACATCCTTTAGTAGAATTCCTGATAGCAGAATCATCTCCTCGCAAACAAACCACCATCAGATTCAGTAGCACTCATGCTTTGGGCACAAATTGACACAGAGCTGAAAGCAACAGGTTTAAGCATTTCAAAGCCAATGCTGGGTGTTGGCCATTGAGCCTCTTTCCAGCCAGATGGTCTAAACAAGCACCATTTCATTTCCTCCACAGTCCAAAAACAGAGACAACTTGTTTTGTCCAAAGTTCTGACATATTTGAGCTCCTCATTAGTTTCTTTTTACAAAGCAACAGCCCTAATTAGCAACCTTAGGAATGAGAGCAGATCAATTACCTCTGCAGTCTTCCAAATATTTATTTTAAATGAATCTGATGCAAATGATGTGCATGGGGGGGGGTAAACCATGT